GAACTAAGTGTAGGGTACCCGCACAAAGGACCATGCCTGGAAAAAGTCTGAGTACCCCGTGAGCCGCTATTGCTCCGGCCTTTGGCCTTTCAGGGAGTNGTAGTTTTTTAAATTTTTTTGAGTAGGACTTAGGAAAAAGTGGAGGAAGAAAGATGAGATTCCTAGGTCCCCTTGACTTGTTTGATAGTAGCATATTCAGGATTTGACATGTGTAGTGTCTTCCCTATGTTTTGAAATTGATCATGATACCATTATAAATTGATGGCATGTCTCGTGATGCCTATGTCTCGTATTCTTGACTTATGTTCACTTTGTGCTTAATGCTTAATATCTTGTGGCTCCGTGAATACTTGCATTAATTTGAGAGTCGAAATGAGACCGTACTTAGTGAGTCATGTTCCATGTGTAAAGCGAGATTTTTGTGTAGTCCATGTCATTGTACTTGTGTCTAGAACTTGCCCGGTATATGAGTCGAAGCAAAACTTAGGTGAGGCTTGGTTTGAAAAATGATTTTAGGTTCTCTTTGTTCTTTTTGAGCTTAATGTTGATCACAAGCCTATATCCCTTTTTATTCTTAATTTATATTATTTTGATCATTTTTCCTCTTAAAGCACTTTAACTGTAATATGAGCGCTAAAAGAAGTAAGAAGAAAATTTGGGTGGCTTTCGAGTGGAACAAATGAAAGGAAGAAAGGTGCACTTGTTTTGTAAAAGAATACACCACTAGTGAAAATTGTAAAAAGAAAAAAATGAAAAAAAAAAGAAGGAAAAATATAGATGAATAAATTGTCATCTTGTTCTTGCTAGTGGGTATAAATTAAAATAGTGCCTAAAGAAAGAGAGAATGTTGTTAGGGATGATTTTAATTGTGAAATTGAAGTTGGAATTGAAGAATTTGCACTTACAGTTGATTATGTGATGTGTTAAAGTGCTTAGGAGGGTTTGTTTTTAAAGTCTGAATCTTAATTATTCAGATCTTAATCATTAAGTGTGTTTGTTTTTATTACTTCACCACCACTTAATGGGTCTGAATAGGTCTGTATGATTAAGATCTATAACAGAGACTTAATATCATTAAGATGCTATCACATATTTATTATTAACTGCCACCACCGCCTAACATTATCAACTACCACCATGCCACCACTACCACCTCCACCACCACCATGCCACCATAATCCTCAATCATAGCCGCCAGCATTATCGATCATCACCATCCACTATCCCCACCACTCTGACCACCATATATCATTCTCACCCATAATCAACACTCATCCACCTCAAACCACAATTGACTACTCCATCACCATCAACAACCACAGCCGGAGCTGCCCATCATTATAACCTACCACCACCCACCCACCACCTTCCTCAGTCACAACTAATACCACCACCTGCCATTATTAACTATCACCACCCACCATCACCATCCTCAATCATAATCGCCACCATTACCAATCACTACTAGCTACTAGCACGAACCACCATCATAAACCAAAACTACCACAAACTACCGCCTCTAGTCGGCATTCACCCGTTAGCCATCACCACAAAAAAGTATCATACTTTAAAAAGCTATATATATTTTATTGATAGAATATTAGATTAGTTAATATTTCATTTGAATTTTATGTTTATTAATTTTCAAATAAAGATAAATTTTATACGTTCAGATGTTAAAAATCAAACAGTCTTAATTATTTCTGTTCAGGTCTTAATACAAATCTTAATGTATTCGATGTGTATTCAGATTCAGATGTCTTAATCTTAATACACTTCTTGATATTCAGATGTGTATTCAGATTCAGACGTCTTAATCTTAATAAAAACAAATGAGGCTTAGTCATTATTCCTAAATATATGCTACCCGTCCCATAGTCCACATTACAATCATGAAAAAGTCCTAATTGATTTTAGATCGAGTGAGCCTACATTAGTAGAGATTTACATTAAGGGCAAGCCAATGGTATCAATTGCATGCATGTGACTTCTTTTGTGAGAATGAGCGATTTTTTTGTGATATATATGAGTCCTTAAAATATATTTGAGCATTTGATTTGAATATGTGGATTCAACTTACCCTCTTGTTTGTTGGTGAGGGCACATGGTCTCACGACAGATTGGAAATGTTGTTAACTTCTCTTGTTGGGTGAGTACACGAGTTGAGGGTGCTTAGTGGTAACAAGTCGACTTTTGAGGTAGGGTGATTATGGGTAGGTTGTTGGAATTGGTTGAATTAAAATGATTATACTTGGGCGCATTTAAAATGGGAAGAATGTGAATTTAGTATGCTTATGCATGATTATCGGTATCGACCATAGTCAAGGGTAGAGTGTATGATTAAAAGTTGAATTACTTCTCCCTAGTTAAGGTGTAAGTTGTTGGGGTGTAGTTGAGAGTTCCATTGCTTTAGGGCGAGCAAGAGTTTAAATGTGGGGTGTTAATATTTGGCTTAAAGTATGCGCAGTTATATGCATATCTCCTTGCATTTTATTCATATTTCATGGTTTTTGTATGTGTAATATAATAATTTATTCTAATTCATAGTATTTGTATGTGTAGGAGTCAAGTGAAAGTGAATTGAGAGTTTGCGTGCAAATTGAAGTAAAAACGGAAGAATTTGGAGGAAGTATGACTTTGGTGCCTAGGTTCGCGCCAGGCACCAACCAAAATGCAGTTGACAACAGGCTAAAAAGTTCATTGTCGCCCAAAGGCGGATTTCGTCCTAATTCTGCTGGAACTTGGTAGTTTCGACCCTACACGCCCCAACATGTGTAAAAAGGGTTTTAAACCTAATTTGGAGGGGATCCAACATATTTTTGGGAGGAGAACACGCCATTTTAGACGGGAGAACGAAAGCACGCTTGGAGGAGGCTTCTAACTAGTTTTTCTTCTCTTGTATTCCTTTAATCTCATAGTTTATTAGTTCTAGAGTTGTGGGTGCTACATGAACATTGTAGTTGAAGCTAGAATTTTTTTATTATTTTATCGTATTAGTTTATTTATTCAATCTTGCGCTTAATTATTTGGTTGCTTGATCATCAATTAAATACTATCTACTAATCTTGGATTGAACTCGGGAGAGGAAATTCTAGATTGCATATAAGATTGAGCAGAGCAAGATCTTGAACCTGGGCATCAGGAATGGATTTGCGGTTATGATAGGAATATACCTAATCGTCTTGCTTGGTGAATTATAATTTGTTCTTGTTAATTCTAATTCCGTAGGAATATAGGCGTTAGGTTAGCTTGAATATGCGAGTAGTACTTCGGGAGAATACTACAAGTAATGTTAACCCTGTCAATCAATAAAACAGATAAATTAATTAGATAATTTAAGTGGAAGACTCAACGAGATTGTTAGCTAACCTATAGCTCTGGATACTTTCTCCCATTGAATTCATCTCTAAGATTGCAAATTTGTTTCCTTTAATTTCTTCGTTTACTACTCTGAATTAGTTCTAAATAAATAATCACACTTTAGGAATTGCTTGAATAGGTTAATTCTCTTAGTTTAATTTAATAAATAGTTAATCACAAGTCTTTGTTGGTACGATATGTAGACTTACAATCCTATATTAGACTTACAATCCTATATTACTAGTACGACCACGTATAGTGTTTGGGAGAAGAGAAACAATATATGTAAGCAATTCCCTCTAATAGATCGTGTGGATTGAACGTTCTAGAGTGACATTAGGTACGTTCAATTTTTGAAGGCAATTCAAAGGGAAATGTCAACTATGACTGCTGAAGGAGCAACTTTTGACCATGAAGATATTTTATCAATTTTCATACTATTAAGACTACTACGTACATACTAATTAGTGGAAGTTTCCCAGCCAAAGAAAGTCAAAATATTCCCCAGTCTCCCCCACTCAAACGAACTGGTCAACACACCCCTAAATACCAACGCCACTATAAAAAGTTCCTTGGCAAAGTAAACAAACCCATCATCTTTCCTTCTAAGAATTCTTAAAAACACTTGCCCCTTTTTGTTCAAAGAAAACAAACCATCATTCTTTCTTCTTCTTAGAATTCTTGAAAACACTTCCCTTTTGGTTCACAAGAAAGATGGAGGTTCTTCCTTCAATGGAAACCATCACTCAAAAGCTTTCACTTCTACCAGCAAAGTCACCACCACTAGGCAGGGCAGAGAGGAAATACAGTTGCAAGAGTAGGCTTCCATCATCACCAAGGTCTCAACAACACAGAGATTCATCGCCACACATTTCAAGAACAGTGAGGGCAACAGCAACAAGCCATTATAGTCTGCGGAAACTACATGGATCGGCAAACAAAGAGATTATAAAGAGGGCATTAACACCACCGGCTCGTCGACTAACCTTGAGATGGTTGGATTTTAAGCCAACTCCTAGCCGTCTTTGTAATATGTCTGCTGCATAGTTTTGGTATGTTATAGCCACTTGGGTATAGGATGTGAATTGTGATGTACAAAAGAAACCCAATGAATCAGAATTTCATCTGTTTATTCTTTTCGTAGATGATTGTTAACTTTCCAAGATTGCCAGCCATTTCAGTTTTGGCTAACTCAGGATTTTTTGGTATATAGTGTGTTAAATTGTTTGACCATCTCATATAAAAGTTGTAACGGTTAGAGAGAACACACTTAATTTACTTAATTATGTCCAAGATCTGTCATTTTATGATCACCACAACGGATATACTTTTAATTTTTCAGTCCGAACTAAACCACTTGGAGCTTTAACTTTGTCCAACCCAGATTGTATACCGTACATTCAGTGGTGAAGCCGGGAATTTCTTCAAAGATATTCAAACTTGAAAGAAGTAAAAAAATATTGCCGGCAAAGGGTGTTCGATCAATATATATTATGTACCTCTAAAACTTGATATTTTACCTACATACGTTGTGTAATTTTCGGACAAAGGGTGGTCAATTAACCACTCTTATCAAAATGTAGCTTCGCCCCTGAGTACATTATCGTGTTCGAGCAAAGTCAGATCTAATTGCAGAGAAACGTAGTGAAAGTGGTAAGACATCAATAATAAAATACTCCATTGTTATGTTCACAAGAAGCAGCAGCCATTGTTGGTACTAATGATCTGCAACAATAAATGAGAGAGTTTTTTCAAAAAATTAAGTCAAGAAGGTTAGTTCTCCTGGGGTGGTAAGACGAGGCGGTCTTGGCCTTCCACCAGCTTCGCAGATCGAATTATGTCACCAGTTTTGATCTGGGGAAGGATATCTCTCCCGATAGTTGTATATCTATGCATCATAAGACACGATTTACCATTAAAACATCTACAATCACTGGTTTGTCGAATACACAATAGGTTTTCGCAAATTATCTGACAAAAATTTGAAGAAACCATACCCGAAAACTGAAAATTGACCCTCCTCAAATGACAAACCTCCCAAGCCAGACTGCAAAACAACATTTTAATTGGATAAGTTGGGTGGTGATATTCTATAGCTAGATTCAAGTGGTAGCTTTAAGAATAAACAAGAAGAAAGGCATGAATAGTCTATACTGATGAATTGCTTAAGAATAAACAAGAAGAAAGGCAGGAATAGTCTATACTGATGAATTGCTACTTACATTTCTCTTATCGTAAAGATAAAAGAAGAACTGGCTTGGTGATGATAACTCCTCCGATACATCACTATGAGCCATTGCAACCGCACCATAAACGGATAATGGAAGCACAGGCAGCTCTCCATCCTTCCATAACAAAAGGAATAAACCATAAGCGCATCGCAGCAGAAATAAATACCAAAGTGGTCTGTTAAAATCCATGAAACCTATGCATACCTGAACGCTTAAAGTTGTTCTATAAAGGGGCTCAAATTGTCCGGATGGCTTGATTTCCAAGGGAACACTATAACCTGTGGCCTTTCCCAATTCACTGTCTGAAAGAATTGCTTGGTTGGCACTAGTTAGCTTCATCCCATCATATGCCCCATCAATCACCTAAAAAATTATAGATTTGTTGTTACCATGACAGAAAATTCAGAAATTCTTATTCAAATAAATCTAAAGATGAGAAGTCTCAAGGATGCAAGTTTTTACAATCCATATATAACAAGATATAAATATCTGAACAAGATCACAGTGAGATAGTAGCTTGAAATATCAGGGGGGTAGCACTCATCTTGGGTCAGCGAGTGTAACATAATCAAGAATACAAGAAACATAACTCCTCAAGACATCACAATGATGGTTTTCCATATTCAAGCAATGTGAAGCTGATAATCTAGAGCTACGGGAAGGAAATTATGACCTCTATGAAGGGGAGCCTTGGAGTAACCGGTAAAGTTGCTGCGCCATGTGACCAGGAGGTCACGGGTTCGAGCCGTGGAAACAGCCTCTTGCAGAAATGCAGGGTAAGACTGCGTACGATAGACCCTTGTGGTCCGGCCCTTCCCCGGACACTGCACATAGCGGAAGCTTAGTGCACCGGGCTGCCCTTTTATGCTCTTCAACTAAAGCAGCTATTAGTCCCAAGAAGAAAGATGCGGGAAAAGAAAGGAGAAAAAACCACCATCACGTGTGGACATGCTTCAAGTGAAGAAATACCTGAAGTCTGATCAGTTTGTCTAACAGAAGTACAGAGTCGTCTTCGAAGGGAAAAGAAAGGACAAAATTATTAGTAGTAAAAAAGGCCCTTATCCTTGTGATGTAGATGTCATTTGATGGAGACGAAGGAAAACATGAACATGTCAAGTGGAAAGCAGACGTAAATATGCAAGAACCAAAACAGTTTCTACATTTTTTTATGTACACGTTGAGGACCATACAATCACAGAGCGTTACAAGCCAAAAGATGCAAGAAGAGCATTGCGCTTCAGCTCATCACTTAAAGGTGGTTGAATATTTTCACACATCATGCTACAATCCTCCAATCTGTCCTAAAAGACAAATTATTGATATTGGAACGGTAAGGATCCAAATGGATCACAATGATATCGAGGATCATAGCAAACCCCAACTAGTTTGCAGATGAGGCATAGTTGTTGTTGTGCTGCATAATGAGTACTTACAAGGATTAAGTGAGATTCCACTACCTTACCAGTTTTGCAAAGTTCCCTGCTGTCAGTGGTGCCGAATACCCATCTAAAACAACCTGCATTGGGTCATTATATAGTTAATACTTTTGTGTTGACCAAAATATGTGTCTGAAGAATACTATTAAGTTATAATAGTAGAATAAAAAACTTTCTCCTCTGGTGCAGGCTCTATCATACGACAAATTGTCAACCCCCTCAGAAAAGCAAAAGTAAGCATTTAATTGGGGAATACTTCATCATACAAAAGAACATACTTTTTATTTCAAAAACACAATATACGATAGGCAGTTCAAATAAAGAGAAAGTGACAGTATAGCCGTTTTCAGATTGATTAAATTGCAATAATGTCTCCAAGCTGAAGCAATGGCATGAGATTATGGTTAATATTCAAGGTAACAAATAAGTGATATGTTTTGAGTCATTAGCAAATAACTTCCATAAGTATCTATCTTTTAACTGAAAGGTCTCAACTGATGCTTAAAACTTTAGTATACAATGAATCATTTAATTAGAAAAAGATTACTTGAAACGATTGTGTAATCAATTTCCTGTCAAAGGGGAGAGGATAGTAATGTTAATAAATGACGCACTGTAGCATACAAACAAATATGCATGAGAAAAGTACAAGGAACTGATGATGATGACGTGCTATGCATTCACTCTGCAAAAGATGACTCATATGATCTCCGCAGCTCTTCTGGAAGACAAAGCAGGAAATAGATGAAAGCTTTCCTTTATGTCGTCATTAGTGCATACGCTGAATGAATGGGGTTGTTTTGGACAATTGAATAGAATAATCAGATTCTACAAGAGAATATGCCAAAAGAACGGGAATGGTGAAGTGCAAAGCCCCCATGTGCCAATTATCAGATTCAGAATAAAAGATCAAACAAAGAAATGGGCAGTGCAAGTTCATGACATCCACCTAGGTCACCACAGTTTTAATCTGACACTCAAGTAAAGGATCCAGCATACGCTGCATACCTGAATCTTTGCAGTGCTTTTGGCTACACCAGCAGCTTCAGGAGAAAATGTTGAACCATCTACTTTCTCAACTGTAAATTCAACTATTCCTCTCCCTGTGAGCCTGACGTATTTAGTAGAAGAATAGAACATAAACCATCTTCCCTGAAGAAATCATTATGTAGTTGCTCGAACATGGTTTGCTTATAAATTGAATGCATGGTGCTTTAAAAAGAATAACCCAACTCAAGTTTTCTTTCATAAAGATGCAATAATGTTGCTGTTGAAGAGCTAAGAAATCATAATGTGAACATTTGGATATACAAAAGCTACCATAAGTGTCAACAAGGCACACTGACCATGCATATGTAGTGTCCTCAGTTTCTATAATCGATGTACTGTACATGTTTGTCATTAAGCAACTAACTTTATAATGAGTAGTTGAAATGTTGCTTTACTCATACCAAAGTTCTTATATCATTGTCTCATTGCTAATTTGAAGAAACCTACACAAATGCTACTCAATTTTTATCTCGATAAAACTTACTTTTCCCTATGGAAGAATACTGAATACCTAACTACTCCCGTGAACTAGGCACAGTTTATTCAGTGCACACCTAAAGTTTTCGTAATCCTAGTTACTCCCTGGACTTGGGTATTTGATAGCCTTTAACCCCTCGATGCTAACATGACAAAGAGTGTGGATACACTCTCTTTAAGACGCGAAAGAGCGACAACAACAACAGCAACAAAAAACCCGGTAGTTTCCCACAAGTGGGGTCGGGGAGGGTAAGATGTACGCAGCCTTACCCCTACCCCTGGAAGGGCAGAGAGGCTGTTTCAGGTGGAGTATTCTTCAACCGTTAATTGTCACACAGTCATATACAATAGTTTATTTGTTTAGATTATGTATTTCTTTTTGATTCTTCATAGAATATAATGCATATATTACCCTAAAATTGTATTTCTTCTTTATATGCAATGACTATTTGTTCCAGCAGTGCATTTCTTCTTTTTCAACCCAAATCTATAAAAGAAACTTGGCTGAACCTCCAATACTTTTAACCAAATTAGAAAGCTTTAGCAAAAGTAATGGAGTCCCAACTGTGTATTTCTTTTTATTTCTTCTTTAGATATAATGGCTATTTGTTTCAACTGTGTATTTAATCTTTTTTCAGGACAAATCCAACAAAAATTTGACTGGAACTCATTATTTTTAGGTTAATAAAAAAACAGTCCAGCCAAATAATAGAGTTCCAAACGTGTATTTCTTTTTATGTCTTCTTTAGATGCAATGACTATTTGTTTCAAATGTGTATTTCTTCTTTTTCGGGCCAAATCTGTTTCATCTTTTTCGGGCCAAATCTGTAATAACCTGGGCTGAAAATCCATTAGCCAAATAGAAAAAGTTTTAACCTAAATAACGGATTTCCAGACAAGTTATATACAAATTTGGCCCCCTAAAAGTTAATGAATTTAAAAAGATAAAAAAAAATATGTTATTCTTTTAAAATGCCACATGGACAAACAAATTCACGTGGCAGCGTGTGTCTCACCTTCTTAGACAGAGTTTGTCCAGGGGGTCAGAATATCAAATAGTCAAGTGTTAGGGGGTAATTAGGACCAAAAATAGTTCAGGTGGGCACTGAATAAATCGTGCCAAATTGAGGTAGTTAGGTATTCTTTCTTTCCCTATTACTCCTATTCCCTCTAGGAAAATTTGTTCTTATCCGGAATATATTTGTCCTTAACATATCATGTGTATCATTTAGTGAATTAGTCTGCACTGCCTATCTAATTTAACACTCACATCTGGGAGTTACAACATTTCAATAAAATTCTAAGTTACCCCTGCACTCCTACGTTATTTCTGCAAATATTTTGTCACTGAAATCTTCTCCAAAGTGAACTACGCTCAAGTTTATACTGTTCAAAGTGAATCAACATCAGCTCTCAGTCTCAAGTGAACTGTACTCTGGTTTATACTGTTCAAGGTGAATCAGTGTCAGCTAGAAGTCTCAGTTATCATTAACGGCTCTCTTGTAGGCTTTTCCACACCACAAAGAGGCTTGAAAAGAGGTGATCCATCATCATCTTTTCCATCTATACTGGTTATGGAAAATTTAGCCTGAAACTCGCAACGCTTTGGAATTAAACTGGTTGAAAGAATTCAATATTAGGAACAGAGAAGGCAATAGAGTGGATGTTTCTTATATTCTTTATGTTGATACTTTGGTTTTGCGTGATGCAGAAGAGGAACAGCTATTACACTTGAAGAGGAATACTATTAGGTTTTAAGTCAAAGCAGATCAAAACATTCAGGAGTTAGCAGAGACAATGGCTATAAGGTTAAAAACTTTCCCCACAGTATACCTTGGACTACAATTAGGATCCAGGCTTAAGACGAAACTGTTTGGAGAGGAGTTACAGAGAAATGTGAGAGAAAGTAAGTTCGTGCAAGAAGCAGTATCTCCTTCAGTGACAAACTGACACTAGTGAGTAGTGCACTTGATGGCATCCCTGCCAAGTTGATTTCAGTCATACCTATCCCAGCAAAGGTAGAAAAACAACTTAAAAAGATAAGCAGAGGAACTCTTCTGAGTAAGAAATCAGGACGGAAGATTCATCTGGTATGATGGCCAAGATTGATGCAAGACAAGAAGCCGGAACCAGGTGTCAAAAACCTAAGATTATACAACAAAATCTTAGTGGTCAGAGGCTTGGAGAATTAATGATGAAAGGAATAACTGTGGAAAGAGGTGATCAAACATAAGCATGGGAAACAGAACTGCTGGCAACTAACCGTCACTTCTTCTCATGGTGTGGTCATTTGGAAACACATCAGATGTTTATGGTGAGTTCCAGAATAAAGTAAGACTAGTAATTCGTAATGAAAGAAGAGTTAAGATTTGGCTGCACAAACGGCATGGGAGGACACTCTAGCAGAATCTTTCCAGACTATATAGCATGGGAATCAGCAAAAACAGTACTATTGCTGTATGCTGTATGAAAGGGCTGGAACATTTATTCATTGCTCAAAATTTCAGGAGTGGATGCACGACAAAAAGATTCCCTCTTCTGGATAGTAAAGAAGGATGGTAAATTCTCAGCGGAGTCATGCCTATTAGAGCAGAAAGAACAGGGACTACAGAAGTGCTCCAACTAAAGTGGCATGCTTTGATTGGACAGCCATACATGATGCATGGTTGCTTTGATTGGACAGCCATACATGATGCATGGTTGAGACAAGATAACCTGCAAAAAGGAGGTTTTCATCTGTGCAGCTGGTGCTTTCTGTGCAAGGAACACTCAGAAACTGTAAAACCCATCATGCTACACCGTAAATATGTTTGCCCAATCTGATGCATGTTTTTTAGCCTCTACAGAGTGCAGTGTGGTAGTGCCCGGAAACTTGAAGCAAGCTCTGTGCAGTTGGCAGGGCGAAGGCTGGGAAAAAACAGAAACAGATTTGGAAGACCATTCCTCTTTGTATATTTTGGACAGACTGGTTAGAAAGAAACCAAAGGTTCTTTAAGTGAAATCAGAAAATGTAGCTTCTGTTAAGTATAGGTGCATTCAAATTTCAAGTTTCAGTGCAAGGCTTCTTTTGTAAATGATATAGGTATAGTGCTGGACCTTTTGGAATCCTTACAATTTACATCAACTTCCAGCCAACTTTTATATATAAGCGGTAAATCCTTGGTGCTGCTGCTTGTGAACAAGTACTCATCTTTAGCGATTCAAAAAGGATAAAAAAGGAGTTACACAGGTGCATCTGCAACGTGCCTGTACTTTCCACTGTGTACAGGACAATTTTGGTTTACCAATCCATGCCTTTGTATCACAGTAAAAATATCCACAGAATCAAAAAACAATCACGTCTCTCCTCAATTTCTCGTGGAGTCAAATTCTCATCAGTACGGGTCAAGGGAATGGACCCCTGGCCTCAGATGTCCATATAAAGAACACGACGAGCATACATACCCTCTTTAACTTCTATTATAACGGACTGTCTGAACACAAACACACAGAGCACAATGAAGGTGGAACTGTAGCACGTACTCGGTGAAAGTCAAGGCGCACACAAGCTTGCTCGTACACCACAATTATCACCCAAAAAAAAGAGAAAAAAAGAGAGAAGAAACAGAGCAATTTAGGCGCCTAAACTCTAAATGCTATATTTAGAAGAGAAATCATGAGAAGCCTTACCTTGGGTATTTCAAGTACTGCTGAGGCAACAAAAATGATAACCCTGGGGCCTGTAGAGAGATTATGTCTTTGAGATATTGTCATTAAATACACTGATTATTGAATTAAAGAATGAAATATTCTAAAAGATCGTAATGCATGAGAGATTTGGATAGTTTGATGCTACAGGCTCTTTGCCCCAAGCTTTGTCCTTTGTTATATTCTTCAATGCGCAAGAAAATTTCCTAACTGCAAGATTGAACCTTAATAAAAATCTTATTGCTTACTAAAACTCCACAAAAGCACAAATTACTCTAAACGGTAAATGTGGACTCATCAACTGTGCTTTCCGCTATTTGATTTGCTCCATTTTACCACAAAAGAGTAACAGCGTTTATGGCGTCATTTATAAATGTCACGGGTGGTAGTAATAAAGGTGTTTAAAGTATAAAGGAGCTCATAAATACCTGCAACAACTCCAGCTGCGCAACAGTATCTAGTGTAGATGCAAGACCAACTGATACTTTATCTGGATCCTTATCCTTTATGTACTGTAGAAGGTTTTGTAATCCACCCTGACAAGATAAACGAGAAAGTCATCTTAATCGCAGTAGGTTTATGTTAAAACATATCATCTGTTTAGATGATTTCTGAAATTTAAGGAATCAATGAGACAGCCAAAAACTATGTTGCTCGGACTCTCCAAAAATGTCGTTGGATGCGTGTTGGATCCTGCAAAAGAAGTGTATTTTTGGAGGATCCGACACGGGTGCAGTAACATTTTGGAGAGTCCACGCAACATAGGCCAAAAATGTACTATCACTGGAATATCATCATGCAAACCGAAAATGTACTATCACAAATGCATAGGATTTTCACAAACTTCTGCGACAAAACATAATCCGTAAAGCAACAACAAATGTGCTCCTGGTTCAGACAGACATCCCTGCTATTGGTTCAATCAATTAAAGGATCACATGTATACAGTTCCGAGTTTCTAAAAATTTTCCTCTTTCTTTTTATCCCTTTTGGGGCCTAAATGTAGCTAGTAGAGAATGAACCTCGACACTGGTGCAGGTTTGTGACAACCTGGAACGTAAAATGAAGTCATTTAACCAAAAATACTTTTAAACTAAACAATTCTAGTTATTTCATGTTACCTTTCCCTCTATAAGTTTAGCGTACAAGACTGAACCCTCATCCCTCAGTTCAGCTGGTATGCTAGCCAAGATGGATGCCTTTTCATCTGTTGCGATCTAAAGAGATATGTAGCATTAGAATAATGTACTTGAAACCAGAAATAGTTCCGGTTTCACATTTGATGAATGTAATAACTTCACATACATGAGAGATTAAAAAGAATGGTTTTAATAGGTCAAAATTGCACAAAAGGAATCCCTGCCAGCTTATCTTTAGGGGCCGCGTACTTCTAATATATGCGACAGGATTTATTTTTTGGGGTGGTTGGGTGTGTGGGGGGGGGGGGGGAGAGAAAATGAGTGCCAGATTAATATCCGTCATTGGGTTGAAACTTACACCAATGGAGTACAGTTCAAACCAATTAGTCCATATTTAGTCCAAGGCCAGATTATTATCTCGCTTCAAGGGCAATGGAATTATTTGTATCCCACTGGAGGATGAGAGATCACGACAACTTCATGACGTAGAAGGAAACGAATTCCATCTGCCTCTCTTTCCCCCAGCTCTATCACCTCTCCTCCCCCTACACCTAAATCCCACAAGTCCCCCTATCCAACCTCATCAACCCAACTAGTTTTTCATTTTAATATTGTACTTCAATAATGATCATCTAGATTCCAAGGGTATAAATTTCAGAGATGATAACATAACTACAACCCTATACCTAACCTGAATCAGACACAGAATAAGAGTATTTCATACCTTCACATCCTTTTAATAAGTAGATATTATTTCTTATATGCAGAACCAAATGACCTGTTACAATCAGTTGGAACGTGGCGTCTACATCTTTGAAACTCTTTTAGTTCTCTACTGCTATAAGTCTATTTGATGGATGGTTTAAGAGAATAACATGAAAGGAAAAATTTCTTCCTTCCTTATACCGTTGAGGATCTTTCTGGCAAACAAACGTAAATAAAAAGCTATTTTATGCAGGGTATTATCCCAAAAGTTCTCTTCTATTCTTTATTGTTTGGAAATGGCCTGACACCCAATACTTCTGTTGGATGGCTGTGGAATATATCGAAGAATGGGGACCTTGGTAGAGGACCAAACCTTGTTTTGTATCTAATTTGGTTGCAAACAAAAATATAAAGCAATACCTTAAGCGCTTTCTTCACATTACCCTCCATTGTTCCAAATGGTTTCCGCTGTGGAATCCTCAGCAAGTACGAGATGTCCTCAAGAGAATCCTGCATTTAAACAAAAAGGAATGGTGATACTGCATGAGTCTGGCTAAACCAAAATATAGTGGCAAGACAAAATTTAGTCACCTGTATAGTTTTCATATTTGGGTTGGCGGGGATAGCTCTTCTGAGAGCTAATTCTCCTGTTCTTGGGATGTTTGTTTCAGGGGAATAAAGCACTGCCTCAGCAGGAGAAATGGGCCAAACTTGCCAACCATAAAAAGGTATCGGAGATGCAATTTCAATAAAGATAAGCATCACAGCCATTAAACTCTGAAATTGCTTCATTTTACTCTCCAAATGTGTTAACAAAATGGACGGAGTAGTTGGCCTCTTTGTCAATTCCTGCATAACTGAAAACCCATTCAGGAGCTGAGAGGGTTATAAAAGTTGTATTCCTCCTCATTCTTGAAGCGTGCAGAATATGGTTACAAATGCACCATGCTAGTGTCCCAAGGAAAATAAAATATAAGGAAAATCAGAAAAATCATAGCCGTTGAAGAAATGGATAGGACCCAACTCAAACTCCAAAAGCTAGCTCATGATAGGAAAATTTCTCAAGACTGTATAAGGACAGCACAACCCATTACCTCAGCCAATGTGGGACTTAAACACCCCCCCCCCCCCCCCCCCCCCCC